ACCTCGGTTCATGTTGACCTTGGTGGATGTTGACCACTTCGGTCTTCGGTAGTTCGGTCCGGTTTGTCGCCTGAACCGGGGTGGTGTTTGTAATAACGTCGGTTCAATGATCATCTTCCTTCTAATGTTTCGTCTGGAATCTCTTAATGCAGGTTTACCGATCCGGTTGTTAACACATTACTGACGACGTTAAATTATATCACATGTTAACCCCATATCTTTAATTTATAATATTTTTTTTGCTCTTTTAAAATAAGATAATAGTTTTCCACCACTCAAACTCGAGACCTATTTATAATTATTATTTAATAATATTTACCCGTGCATCGCACGGGGCTACGCACTAGTCTAATATTACCTCCATTCCAAACTAAGTGTCGTTTTAGCAAAATAAAAATATTCTAAAATAAGTGTTGTTTTTAGATTTCAATACATTTTTGAACAAAAATTTCCTAACATACCGTAAAAAAAATAATTTATTGATGATCATTATTTTAATAGGGTTGGTTGAAGATATTCTATTAATTTAATACTATATTTAAGTGTTTCTTAAATGCAAATTCTAGAATGACACTTGGATGGAATATTTTGTTTTATGTTTAATCACTTGTGACATTCAAACTGCACACATCACATCATGCAATATATTTAATTCCTAGTGATGCAAATTATTTTTAATTAATATCTATGTAAATAATACCATTACAACATAAATTGCTTTAGAGAACATAAAATAAATAATACCTGATAGCTTAAAATTGTTACTATACAATATAGATAAACAATTATGGCATTGCAATTGTTCTTACTACCTTTTTTGTCCATCTTAGTATTTTGATGATTTTGGTAACACTTACTATTTTGTACTACATCTAAAAATCAAATTATAACACTTTGAAGTAGAACTATTTAATTGTTATATATATATATATATATATATTTATAACTTATTGTGTAACACTTTGCTATCAAAACTTTTTTTCTTATGTCACTTTTAATTGAAATGTATAATTCAATCCTCGATTATATCACTTTCATTATTTTGTTGCAGCACTTTATTAGTAATGTAACACGTTCAATAGCAGCATTTATAACGTTGTAAATTCTAATATAACACTTTCTCTATCAATCAAATATATGTAATAATCAGTATTCTAAAAGTCACTAAGCGCCCGCTAGACGCTCGACCGACCAGCGCCTAGCGCATAGAGCGTCTAGGCGAGACCTAGGCGGCGCCTAGTTGAAACCTAGAAATCAATATTAAATACTTTATTTTTATTTATTTTAACTACGTACAAAATAAAATTATCTCAACTTATAATAAATTGACACACCTAAATCAAATAATAAAATTCATATATTTTAAAGAAAACATGAGAACAAAATAATGTAATTAGTATTTAAAAAAAAAAACTGAAAAATTTTGCCGAGTCCGCCCAGCGCCGCCTGGCCGTCGAGCGCACCAAGTCCGCCTAGGGCCGCCTAGTCGACTGGCCGATTTTTTCTGCCGATTTGTGTAAATCGGAGGCGCCCGGGCACCACCTAGAATAAAAATTTAAATAATTATTAAATTTGTAATTATGTCAACATATCAACATACAAGAAAAAAAAAAAAGAAAAAAAAAACTAGAATAATCTTTATCATCACCTAAAGCAAAAAATATGACTCTTCAAAACATAACTTGTCGAAATTATTAAAAGTAGATATCGTCATTAATGTTGATATCGTCATTAAGCTCCATCATGTCTATTTCATGATAAACTTATTGGAGGTGAGAGACCCACGTTCGCGAATTTGCTCATCCATATATATATCATGATCTTGAAATATCAAGGTAATAAAAATACATACATATTCAAGCTTAGCCATACCAATACCTAGGCAAAATTGCATTTTATGCCCGCTAACTAAGAGTATGTGGCAAATATGGACAACTTCATTTTGGTTTAGCAAAAGTGATGAAAAACTTGTTTAGACTTCTCATAAAATGTACAAAATTTTTTATGGGCATAACTATTACCTATTTCTATAATTATACATATTCCTTCACGTAAAGGAAACTATAACAGATAGGTAGAGTATTACTGGCAGGGATGCATTTCGGACTAACCTGAATTCTAATTGTTTCGTTCGCATAGTGATACAAGCGAGCAACCTTGTCGAATTTGGCTTCGGGTCGATAGAGTTGAGGTAGCAGACAACACAATGATAGAGACATAATAATAACCATCTCACCCGCAATCTCCTTATATATATTTAAGTTGTTGTGTTTTCGAAAGTGTTAGCATAAAAATACTACATATTTGTAGAGTGATGTAAAAGTGTAGTAAAAGTTTCACACATTTGAAGTTCAACTTTGTATTGAACTTGTGGGTCTCTATTTGCTAATTTTATGCAATGCTGGTGAGTGATGAGTTTTTTACCATGTATAAGCGCTATTAAAGCACCTCAAAAATCTGCCCTTTTTTTTTGTTGGAACTCTCGGTATAAAAACACCGATGCTAAAGTTTCGCTACACTAAAAGAAAATGTATGTACGGCTATGCACGAGATTAGTATCATTCATGTTTTCATACTCGTTCGATGTTTGTGCTCTATTATACAAAAATAGATCACATTTCCTTTAAGCTTTCAGTTACGTCCTAAATTCTACAAAAGCAGAGAAGATCTCCAAAGATACTCAGTATTTTCTCTCGTTTTACTTGTCCTTTGTCGAATACATTCATAATTCCACTCCCCTTTCAGGTCGATCATCTTGAACTAGAACAACTCGTACTTCCTTTTGTCCTAGTCATAGTCAGGTCACTGAGATAAGACCTAAATCGTACGAACAACCTCTGAAGCTAAGACCTAAATGAGTACCCTATCTCGCGACCTACCACTCAGACGAAAGACCTCAAATCAACTTCTATATCGACTATCTGAGCTAAGCCTTAATCGAACTTCTAAGGGGGTAATTGGTAAGGAGTTAAAACTGATCAAAATCAGTTTTGATTTTACTCATTTTAACTCAAAATCTAACTCAACTTCACTATAACTCACCAATTTTTAGCTACATATCTCTTTCATCATCTCTCTCCTATTTTTCCATCTCATCAACTTTAACCATTAAGTTTTAAATATTATTTAATTACGACCTCTTTCATCCCACACAATCAATATTATTCAAAATAACTCATTTTAACTCATGATCCAATTTTGGTCGATTTGAACTGGTTAATTAGGTTTTCTTAACAATCACCCTTATTAACCGATCTAATCTTGTTGGCTACACCAAAATGCAATAGTATCAAAAAGAATAGTGATTGAAATCATATCTATTGCAAAGTATAAACTTCAGATTTGTTCTATAAAAAACCAACAAACAAATTAATAAGTAAATCAATCTAAAAAGTTAACCTTTTATTATAAGGAATCAATTAGACTATTAAAAAAAAAAGAAAACAATTAAGTGATTAATGAAAAAAAAATCAAGAATATTATATGAAGGTGTTCAAACGAATAAATTCAAAGCTCCCACAGTTAATGTCAAAAACAACATCATTCTCGATTGAAAAATCCTCTAAAAATTATATTTTATAAACTGTTCAAGTCATTTTACAATTGTCAACACATAGAATTTTTTTTTTTTTTTGTCACCAATACCTTTTTCTGTGTATTTAAACGCAAGAGCATCACGCTTTGCCCCCAAAGGATTGAGAAAGCTAATTACTAAGATAAAAAAAGATGTCAAAAGACAAATCGTGCAACCTATTTTCATCAAGTCTTTGGAACCTAACTGAAATGGGATTTTAGGTTTCACAGTTCATTTAAGAGAAAAATTAACATTACTTTATGTCATGTCATAAATAAATCGCTACAATCCTGTTACGAAATCATTCCGTCACTACAAGAAAATAGAGTTCGAGTGAAAAATTTTGTTGTCACTATATCTACTGTCACTATATCTACAATTATTGTCACTATATCTACAACAATTATAGATATAGTGACAATAATTGTAGATATAGTGACAA